CTTACTTGCCCGGTTAGAAAGTTAAAGCTGCACAACTCAGACAACTAATTGCTTGAATTTCTCCTACACTTTGAAGGGGGAAGCTTCCCTCTTATTATTGAGAAAGCACTATTTTTTCCTTCTTTTTTTTTTCTTTCACACAATGGCTTCAACTTCTCCTCAAACCGTCTTCCTCTCCCCCTTGGATCAATATATGCCACGTATATACATCCGGCTGTTTCTTATCTTTGAAACAAACGATCCCCACCGCGCTGCCCACCGCCTGAAGGTCGGTCTGCAAAGACTTGGCTTGCTGCTGCCGTTCATCAAAGGCCATGTCAGTATATCTGATAGCATGCCCGAAGGGCATGGCAGGACGGCCATCCGATGGTCAGAGGCCGAAGACGAAGATATTGCGTTCCGAGAGATTCCAAACCCTCCAAACCCGGAGTGCATCAGCCTTCCCTCGTTTGCAAAGCTCAAAGATGAGGGCGCACCTCTGCACTACTTTGACCCGTCCTTCTGTCCTCTACCATCATCGTTGGCGAAGCCCTTGAACGCCCCCGTCCTTGTCGCCAGCTACACGGTCATAGAGGGCGGCCTGGTCCTCGGTCTTTGCGTGCATCACAACGTCATGGACGGCACAGGTACGGTCGGGCTCATTCGATCCTGGGCGGACTGCACGCGATTGGAGATGGAGCGACTGAGTTTGGAGACGCTGTTTCCGGACGCGAATGAACCCTTGCATCGTGCTGAGAGGCTTGAGATGGCCACCACTACTGGGGGTACCAGCCAGGGAACAACAGCTCGACGCCTGTCTCTCCAGGAGCTTCTGGACAAGAATTCCCCTGACTATTCCGTGATACCCAAACCGAAGGCCACTCCATCTGCCAGCGATGCTGCCGCCATTACCACCACCAAAGCCCCAGTCACAGCTCAATCTGCAGCCATTTCTCGGGGACAGGGGTCCAAGCTTTTTGCATTTGACGTATCGAAGCTCGAAGCTGCGAAGGAGGGTTTGCTCATGCAATGGATGACCTCCTCATCACTTGGAGCGGAATGGTTGACTACCAACAGCATTCTGTGCGCCGTGATGTGGTCGTGTATCACGAGAATCCGCTCAGCCAGAATCAAGAGAGAAGGAGGCATGGAGATGATTGACGAGTCTCCCATTGCTCCGAGGTTTGGGTTTGCCATTGACGGACGACGGCGACTGGGCGACGCTTTTTCCGCCAGGAAACAGCCGTATCTTGGGAACATAGTCATCGTCGGCCTGGCCGCGCTGCCTCTTTCGGACGTTACAGATGCGGCCGCCTTGGCTCCATCAGCATCTGCCACCTCCTCGGCATCATCAGGCATCTCCAGGCTAAGCCCACTCGTTCATGAGTTTGCGAGTGCCATCCGGCGCGTCACGCCGGGCCGAGTCGGCGAAGTGCTAGCGTTGGCAGACCGAGTGCCTGACGTGACCGAAATCTCCCCCAGTTGGAACCCAGTCGGCAAGCTCGACCTCGCGCTGACGAGCTGGGCCAACATGCCGTTGTATAGCTGCGACTTTGGGGATGCACTGGGAAAGCCAGAGTTCATGAGGGTACCAGTTGCGCGGCGCGACGGTTTGATCGTTGTGCTGCCGCGGAAGAGGGAGGGCACAGGGAACGACAGGATCGAGGTTATTATCGATTTGATCGAAGAAGACAGAGCGGCCCTGGAGGAGGATGAGATATGTAACAGCTGGCTTGTCTCATAGAACGGATCATTTCCTATTCAATTCTGTTGATGTAACTTCAAATTCAAATTCGGATTCGGATTCAACCTGGAAATAAGCCTTTGAATGCCAATGGCAACCTAAACATCTAGTCTTCGTAAAGGTGAATAAAACTTGAACTTAGAACAGTTCAAAATAGAAACCCCTAGCTTTGCTCAAATAAGAGGGACAATGGGGCCACATGCTCGTGCTTGTCTGCGCTTGACATGGCACGAGGTTCCTTCGGCTTCTCCCTGCTGTCGCCGGGAATGAGGAACAAGCTGGATGCTTGGAAGTTGGCTAAAGTATGACCTCTCAGTTGAATTTTCCTGCAACGAGTATTTGCTTGGGCAAGAGCGAAATGCCCGACTACCACAGACGAGGCATGATACGGCACTCGCAGTCGTGCCTTCGGACTACCAGTTTCTGCGAGGTCTTAGTTCGGGGAAGTCGCGCCGGCTGCCGCATCTTTAACGCCCTATCTGACCAAACAAACTCCTAGCAGGCACGAGTAGCGACTTCAAGCTGCGCAAGCATCTGCAACAAGAAAAGACGTCATGTTGGAAAGAGTGGGTAGGGCGGCCACTCTTTCCCCTTTAAGGAGACCAGGCCTTGGCGCCTCATCGCATTGACACCAGCTGGCCCTCATCTTCAAAGCAGGAAAGCAATGTTCACCAACAATGGAGACACGCACTCCTGCCCCTTCTCTTCATCTCCATCGAATGGATTTCATCTTCGCTTGCACCCGCATCCCAGAGACTGGAGCCGAAGCTGCCAAACTACAGCACTACCGGCCTGCGTCCAGCCTACCTGCACCGCAGCATTACAGCCGTTACCTGACATGACTCGATATTGCGCAAACCTTGGGCTTGGGACAGCTGCAAATGAATCCATGATTCTGGGCATCAGATCGTCTCGAAGTGTCCATTTTGTATCGACGTGCCAAGTTCGCTTGCAAGGTTGACAATTTTGCCTGAACCGTTAGTGTTGAAACATGCCGTTGCATTGCACCCCCGCAGCTTCGATGTGGACCTGAGCGCTGCCCTCAAGGCTACGCGGCGTCGCGTTCACTTCCTAACTCGGCCCGGACGACGCCTCCGACGAACAATGAGACCCGCGTTAGCGCCAATTCCCAGAATCCACGCCTCTGCTCGACCTCCAGCCCATGGGTCGTGAGTCCCGCCAATAACAATCAGTTCACGGCTTCCTAAGATTGCCTCCCGAGAGTCGGGGATGAAGCTCTGGCGGGACCCAATCCGAAATTTCCTGTTGGTGCGCCGTAGATGGGGCCGAATGCTACTATTGTCCCTGACAGCACCGTCACCAGACATTGCGAAAAATCGGTTCGCGGTCGTATGGTTCCTAGATGCAGCCCTCCAACCTCAGCTTCCTCTCCACTTCAGCTCTCACCATCGTTGCCGCCCCCGACCAGTCCCTCTTCTCCGCCAATCACAGTGTCTCAACCCGGGTCGATTTACATTCTCAGCATCTTCTTCCCGCTTCGCTAAACGTCTGTAGACCCGCTTCCCCACGTTTTGCTACAAGCCCAGTACTACGGTCTCATTGACCGAGTTGCCCCTATTCATGGATTGCAACCGCGGTGACTGGTGATCTTAGAAGACATGTGCGGCTGCTATCCTCCGCCGTCTATAATAAGACGGCTTCTGCCAGTATAACCCGACATTAGTGTTCAACTCTAGATCCAGTAGAATAGGTCCTCCTCTCCAGTTCTTTGAGCCGCCACCACGGACTCGATCATGTCTCCTAAACTCACTTCTCTCGTTGCCTCGCTGGCTGGCGCTGCTCTTGTAGCAGCACACGGCCACGTCTCACACATCATTGTCAACGGTGTCTACTACCAGAACTATGATCCCACTTCTTTCCCCTACCAGACCTCACCGCCCACGGTCATTGGATGGAAAGCAGAGGATCTGGACAACGGATTCGTCGAGCCCAACTCTTTCGCAACAGGCGATATCATCTGCCACAAGGGCGGCTTACCCGGAGGTGGCCATGCTACGGTAGCCGCCGGCGACAAGATCAACATTGTGTGGACCCCCGAGTGGCCTGATTCGCACGTTGGTCCCGTCATTGACTACCTTGCCTCTTGCAACGGCAACTGCGAGACCGTCACCAAGACCGCACTGAACTTCTTCAAGATTGGCGCCGAGGGCTATGACAGCACCACCGGCTGGGCAAGTGATCGTCTCAGAGCGAACGGCAACAGCTGGATCGTTCAGATTCCGTCAGACTTGAAGGCCGGCAACTATGTCCTGCGCCACGAGATTATCGCCCTGCACGGCGGAGGCAACCTCAACGGAGCTCAGGCATACCCGCAGTGCTTCAACCTGCAGGTTACTGGATCTGGCTCCAACCTGCCCAGCGGAACACCCGGCACCTCGCTCTACACTCCCTCGTCCGCGGGCATCTTGTTCAGCCCTTATGTCAGTCCCATTGTCTACCCCATTCCCGGGCCAGCTTTGATTGCCGGAGCCAGCAGCGTCAAGCAGAGCACCTCCAAGGTTACCGCAACCAACTTGGCGACTGTGCCCGGTGGAAGCACCCCCGTCACTACGTCCTCGGCTGCGGCGGTGGCCACCACCACCAGCAAGGCCACCAGCAGCAGCACGAGTGTCAAGACCACCACCCCGGCAGCGACCACGACTCTCGCCACAACCACCAAGGCCGCGACAACCACCCCGGCGCCTGCCGTCACTGGCGCGGTTCAGACCAAGTATGGTCAGTGCGGTGGCAGTGGATGGACAGGTGCCACAGCCTGCGGCGCTGGCTCGGCTTGCTCCACTGTTAATGCTTGGTATTACCAGTGCGTTTAAGAGAGTCTGGCAGAGGCAATGAAGGCTCAGGGTTTTAGAGACGACGTACCTGAGAGCTTGGCTGCTATTTTGAGTGGTCAAGTGGCTCATCATTGGGGCTGTGACTAGGAGTACCACTGATATTTTCTTTCTGCAATTTTCACTGTATATAGTTGAAATATCCAATTTATACCATCCACTACTGACAATTCTCGTCATCAATGCTCACATCATTCCTGTCTCTTTCTGACGGTCAGACTGTTGTTTGTTCCTCCTACCTTTCAACTTTCCCTGTGAACCGAACATGGAACCCACCATCAGGCCGAAAATCACACACAAAAACCCAAGAGCTCATCGGATTCTCAAATGATCCAAAAGTCATGCAATGGTTCCACCTCGTCCACCTCTATCCACCACTCACCCAGCCAGGACCCGCAGTTCCGCACCCAATCTTTATCAAGATGTAGGGGATAATAGTATAGTGGTTAGTATATCTCCTTGTGGTCGGTCGATACAGGCATACGTCGGAGACGACCCAGGTTCGATTCCTGGCTATCCCAAGTTTTGTCGTTTTGTACTCGATCGAAAAAGAGTACATGCCCCAAGCGATTTTCATTTATCCCCCTCACACTTCCTGAATTAATTAAATGGCAGAACTGAACTGAGAGACTCGGTTTTACCGCGCAAAGAGAAATGAAAATTTACTTTGAGTTGTGGAGATATTTCACACTGCTCCACTTCTTTCATGCTGGACAATGTTTGAGGACAGTTGGTCATGTCAGCGATATGACGTATTTTAAATATGAACCATACTTTATACTAATGGGACATAGAGGTGCTGAAGGTGTGAGTTGGAGAGTTGCTCAATCTTCCACGCATTCTTGCTAGGTACTATAGGCTGCGTAGGGATATAAACATGAGAGATTCATGAGAGCAACTTGGTTTCAAACACGCAAGCAGACGCTGACGGCTCGAATTCAAAATCAAACTGATTTATTGACATGACTGTCAGTAAGCACCAGTTGCGATGACTTTGAACAAACTTTTGGGGGGTATTGAGGTCGATGCCGCGTGAAGGCTTCTTTCGAATGAACTCATGACCCCTACGGCTAAATAAAAGCAACCCTAATTTCTCTTTGCTGAGCTGCTTAAATACCCCTTATCTTCAATATCACTTTGCTGTTATCTTAAAGGCTGATAAAATTACTATCATTTGCACCACTAGGTGCAAGCAGTTGGTTGATTTCATTTACCATCCTAGTTTGCAAAGATGGATTCACGCAATGAAACCGAAATGTAACTTGGTTCTTGTTCCATCACTGCCAACAAAATATGTCTACCTTATTAACCTACTCTTTCTCATGCCATTAGGAGTTTCTAGCATAATGCAAAATGATCCTTCCTCACAATGGCCCTGCCGTGGTTGAACACACTCTCTCTTTGGCTTTTTATCCTCGATATCTTTCTCTCACTAATTTCAGCAATAGTCTCAGTTACAAATCATCTCAGTCTTTACGTTCCTTCTCAGCTGCTTTCTTCTCTGCCGCTTCCCTAGCTTCCCTCTCCGCCCTCTTCCAGAACTTTGGATAACCACGCGCAACTCTCCACGCCTCAGCCTCCTTCAGGACAGTCTTGGCAAGCTCCTCACGCCAGCCCCCATCCATCATGTCCTGCTTCCACACGATGTCTCCCCCAAGTGACCACGAGATGGCGCTCTCCGCACGCGCGCCCTCAGGAGCATCGAGGATCCCGACCGCCACATCCACCATCTCTGCCCGGTCATCGGCAGCGTAAATCACGCAAGCTGAGCAGCGGCTGCAAAAATAGCGCTGCACGCCTGGAGAGCTAACGTAGAAAGCCAACGTGCCCAGTCTGGGATCTCTCTTCCCGCCCTCTGCCTCCAACGCTGCCCTCAGCTCGATCGAGCTCTTCGGGAACCCGTACCCATCTCCCCCAGGAGTATTAGTCGCAGCATAACCGAGATGCTTGACCAGGGCAAACGTCCAGTTGAAAATATCCACACCCGCAGACAGGCGGCATGAGTCGCAGCCGTCGAGACTGCCGACGCTCTTGAAGGTAGCGGGGTCGACGAACCAGGGTAGTTCCTCCTCTCCCTTCTCCTTCTGCGCAGCAAACTCGCGCCGCGCCGCACCAGCCCGCAGCACGAGGTCGACGCCGCCGCAGTGGCACCTGATCGGGATATCCCCATCCCCTTCTGCCAACGGTTGTTTCTGTTGTAGCTCGGCAACGGGCGGCCAGTGCTCCATCGGCGGAATCAGCTCGCTCTTATCCCGCCGACCGAGCCAGCGCCGCGCAACAGGCGCGCTAGCGTCCTCTGTCTGACGACGAAGCCAGACCGCTGCACCGCCATCTTTGGTGTCCTCGATGCAGATGTGGTCCTTGAACCGGACCAGAGGCTGCGGGAGTTTCTTCTTCTCCTTCTCCCCATCATCACCCCCGACATTGGCAACAACGGGATCCCTCAGCACCCCGGTAAACACCCCATACGTGATCTTGTCCTCCTCCTTCCCTTGGATCTGCACAGGCTCATGCTCCTCAAAGAACATGGGACTCGAACACGTCCCGCAAAACAGCAGAGCTACGCTGCTGGGGAACAGATCATAGCGCTTCAGCTGCTCGACATTCTCGGGAGTGCCGCCGGGCCACGCCGCGTCGACAGAGTGCAGCGCGCCCGTGACGTGGCGGCACGAATTGCAGTGACAGTACGATGCGCTGAGCGGGAGAGCAGAGGACGGGATTTGCGCGGTGAAAGTGTGCGCCTTGCAGAGGCATTGCGCTTTGATTTCGACGATCATCTCTTCTTCCCAGCCGTTTTCAGGTTGGGGTTGCGCCGCCGCCATAGTGGGCAAGTTGAATTCCAATGGATGCGTTTGAGGGGTAGAGGTAGAGACTTTGCCAAAGATATCGCTCAGACCCGAAGATGAAAGATGATGTTTTAATGGAGTCTTTCAAAATTGCCTCTGTTGGAATCCAGTCAATGCATCATGTGCGGGGAAACAGCTCTCATGATAATATAATTGCACATGTAGCAAAATGAGAATCAAACCGCTATGACGTTGTAGTGTAATACGGTGCAATATTGATCCTTTCTCCTTACTTCCTTCCCTAGGACCCTGCAGCCTGTATGACTGCGTGGCTGCTTGCGTACTGTTTGCTGCACTTATCCGAAAGTAGCAGGTGATATCACACCCCGCGCCTGTCTAAAATAGAACCATCTTCATCGGTTTAACTCTGACTCGTTTTTTACTAGACCAAATTGTTCAGTGAAATATAACATAGGTTACAAGATAAGGTATTTGACCCTTCTCGATCCTATTACGAGAGCGACTTGACGTTGCTTTAAACGTCGGGGTCTGCCCCCTGGCGCCGCTGACGATGCAACGGAGTTGAACTTTGTTGACCCCACCATCGTGAAATGACAGTGTGATATCATCCACAGGGGGACCAGATATGAGCATCAGTGCGACCAGTGTCTTGAAGAAAGGCAGAAAAGTGGCTCGTCAGCTCAATTATACACCCTCTACGGTATTACCAAGTAGGTTGTGATGTACACAGATACTTGTGTACATAATAATACAGACAACCAGCAACGCGCCGGATATAAAATGCCTCCAGGCTAGTTAATGAACCCCTAAAAAAGAACAGATGCCACTTGAGCCCCAATGCTATCCAACCCTCACTAACCGATGATGCTCTTTTCCTTGCCGCCAATACCATGCATAACCCTACCTTTCCCAGTCTATTTTATGCGACACGGTTGCCGTTTTGCCCAAGCGTGCTGGGGCTAGCAATGCCCTCGTCAGCTCTGTCGTCCCTTATGAGCTTTCGTCTTGCCGCCTGCTCCTCGTCTTCATCGTCACTCATCAACCCCTCAAGTTCAAATTCGCCTGCATTATGCAGCTGGCCTTCTTCGTCCGTCCTCGAGTTAGGCCGTACCCGGCCATTGGCAGTGGTCTTGGCGATCGGAGCCGAGCGCGTGGAGGAGTCGTAAACGTGGATCAGCATGTTGACAAACAAGAAAAGAACAAAAGCCAAGCTGAACAAGATCAGGATGTAGGCAACATGATCAAGACCGGATGCCGCGACAAGGGACATCTGCTCTTCAGTGGCGCCCATAAACAGAAAACCAGAGGCAATCAGCAGCTAAGGGGGGGGGGGGGGATATTAGCGGCTCGCATCACAAGACTGCGAAAGAGAAAACTTACAAAGCATGGGATGAACTGAAAGCTGCTCGATTCAGTGCCATCCTCAGAAACGCCAGGCTTGTCCTGCAGAACGAACGAGATCTCAATGATCCGGACCACACCAAACGTCATCAGGGTGTATCCGAATACTTTGTGCGCCATGGCGCTGATGGGCATTGTCTGCGGGTGCGCACTCATCGCCCAGCCCGTAATGATAATCACGAACCCAGGAATGAAGTTGCGCTTGGGCAAACCATCTCTGCCCTTGCTCAGCCAGATGCCGGCCAGGCCCGCGGACCACCAGATAATCCCCATCGCCGTGTGTTGCCAGTCATTTCTAACCCAGGCAGTGCCCCATCTGTGCTCCGTAAAGGTGTTGACACAGCCCCAAGCGGCTATGACGACGCTGTCGAAGAACTCCTGGCTACGGCCAGTACGGCGCAGCCAGACCTGGCCGACCAGCAGCAAGATTGTGAGCAGAATGCCATACGCTATGAAGGCGCTACCCATAATGAAGTGCGCCAGGCATTGCCCGAGGTGGTCGTCCTGGCAGAAACCGAGGGCGGTGATACCGCCGAAGAGCATCTGTGCCCATGATACAATTGGAAATACCTTACCATTGACGCTGTGCAGGATGCGGACGACGCGGCGAATGCGACCATGGATGCCCTTTTCGAGGTGCAGCTTGAGGTAGATGCCAAAGGCGATCTGCGCAACCATGAGGAAAAACACCGTATTCCCAAACTTTGCGTGGATGTTCGACGAGATGAACTGCCTGCCCTTGTGGAGGTGGCCAAGTGCGTAGCCCAACAGGGCAATCAGGGTAGCTACGATCTGGAGGGGGACGTGCCAGCGGCTCTTGACGATCTGTAAAGACCCAATTGGGGCCGTCCGTCAGCCAATGCCTTCCTTTGCGACCGTCATGTTCTAGGAGGGGGTTATAAAATACGCACTCCGAGAACCATTCCCAGCGGGAACATAATGCCAAACGCCAGCATCTGCACAAATATGTGCGCCCATAGTATCGCATCCTACAACCAAAAAGGTCTGTCAGCATGCGCCAAACCGTCCAATTCCCAGCCCACACGCCCGGGGGCTCATAACAGACGGGTAGACGTACAATTGGGTCCTTCGAGACAGCTTCCCCACCAGGAATGTTGTCCTCGCCGTGTTCGTGACCTGACGCCATGGGGAGGAATGCGGCGGCCAAAGCTATCGTAGCTGCTGTCGAAGAAGAGAGTAATTGAGGAACGCCGCGGCGCAAGGGCGAGGCAGCGACATCGCTTCGACCTGTCGAAGAGAGAGTCATGTCGAGGTTTTGGGTTGCGCGCGCAGTGCCCCTAGCAAGACAAGCA